GAATCTCTTTATTTCCAACCAGTAAATTATAATTTCTTATCCTGTACCTATGTTATTATTACAGATACGATGTAGGTATTATGAAATTCTATGGAACATTTCTAATGGTTTAAATTCGGATGGTATAGCACATATACAACTGTCTAATTAGACAATTGCAAATAAAAACACTTCAATTATTGAGCACGTGTTCTGGAAACTCGATAGATAGTTCTCTACTGAATCACCGTTCTTTCCCCAGAGCGCGCATGTTCGGTGTTTGTTATGGTAATTTGGAGCTGATTTGCACAATAAAACTCACTCCAGCCTCTGCACACCTAACAACTACCCGTCTGTGTCGATAATTTTGGTGTAATAGTCTGTTTTGTTCATTAATTGTGCGCTAAATTGTTGTTTATCGTTAACAGTTGGTATGAGAAATATTTACTGTAACTTCGTGTATGTTGACTTTAAAGTTTCTTTAAATCGCTATCAAATTTAAGACTCATAACAGCTTGTAATGGTCTTTTGTACTGTAGATTGTATGTATCACTATTTATTTCAATATTGATTGTTAAAGAAAACTGTTTACAATGTTTACCGTCACAGAAAAGTGCACTATTTTTTAATACATACTAGTCAAAACACATAATTTAAGGAAGAAAAGCTCAGTGTGAACTTATTTTTATTGCGATCCGTCCATGACATCTTAAAAGGTGTTTCAAATGATTTACGTCTTGCAGTAAAATGCTTAAAAATAAAAACATAAAGATTTAAATATTTACGGGCACAGAAATGTTTTGAAATGTCTTACTATCCTTTAAATTATAATAAAGCAAGAAATACAATGTTTAATTTTTAAATCATGTAATATACTTATATAAATATTGACTGTACGGCGTATTTGCAATGAAAGAAACTGTGAAAGTTGATTATAATCTACACAAAAATGTGATTGCGTGTTCCATTTCGCAATCACAAACGGAGTATTGACTCAGCAGCAAATAAAAATGTCACTGATATAAAAATTGATTTTATCAAGTGCAATTTTATTACAGAAATAGCTTTCATTTGTATCAGAAAGTATCTTTTAAAACATAGTTACAAAATCTTTTCTAACTACATTTTCAACAGTAAGATAAACTGTACTGTAGTCCTGACAAGGAACTCTTATAGTTTCGTCATGTCCCTTCCCTAGATATTAAGGCGTCTCACTAGTGTGTGACGTCACACGACTGTCATTAAAACGTCAAACGATACACAATAATGTCACTTTGGCAGGAAGTTTACTAGCGTGTGACGTCATTTTAGTCTTGGCCAATTACAGGCGTTTTTGGTCACGTGACCATGGAGCAAAAAATCATTTCTATAAAATGATTTTATAGAAAAATTATTAATATTATTGGTTCCTTTAGAATAGTAATATCGCTGCTATTATTCATATTAAATACAGATGCCAACAATTGGTTACCTTATTTTTCATACTGTCAAATAGCCTATTTTATGGAGATATGTATATCAATGACGCCGACAAAATGGTAGAATTAAATTTTGATTCCCCTTTTCAGGGGATGACGGGATCGCTTCGGATGAAGCTTGTAAGGTCTTTCTGGCAATAAGCATGAACTGCGTGGTGTGTGCGGATAAGTGTGTTTAAGTCAATAAGAGTCTGACATAACCTTGCAGCCGGCTGCAGAAATCCTCATGGATACCACACTCGTAAAAAATGTAGAATTGATTATGAGTTTGGGACGCAGTTTGACTTTGATTTAGATATTTTAGTTTAGATACATAGATTGATAATAATTAGTTTTTCTAATTTCCGAAACAGAAAATAAAGACTCCTGCTCAAATATATTGTGGTAACTACAGGCAACTACGGAACCTTACACTGCGCGTGGCACGACACGTACGTGGCCGGTTTTTTGGAAAATAACTTCTTTAAACTCAACTAATTCTATATAGGAAATATTTTGTATAAGTAACTTCAGATAGGTATAAAATTCTCTAAAAGGTAGCTGCTGATTTACTTAAGTTAGATCTTGAGAAAATATAACTCAATTATGAAAATTACCGCTCACTCATTGTGCTGACCTCTTTTCATGTTTATGGCATAGATTTGAATTTTCTTTGGTTTATTTCTTTCTTAGGTTTTCACGCACATCACTCATTAAATAAAACTAGTTTAACGTGCATTAACCCGTTAAAAGTAGTTTTATTTTCTTTGGTTTCCTTATTATGACATGAAAATTTGTGACATTGATTACAGGATTATTATCAAGACGAATTCAGTTTATTAATTTGTAGATTATTTTTATAAACTGCTTGAAATACTCACTGACATGGACTTTTGTTACTAATAAATGTGTAAAATCACGAAACAGATCAAAGATACTACTACAACCAGTAAGGTTTAACAACAACACACTGAATATAGGTTGTTATTTCTCATTTGTTCACTAACCAAATTCATTCATGTGTCTGTACTCATACTCCCTTGACCCAGTATTTCGATCAAAAGGCCATTGTCCGTTTGTATATGTTTATACGGCTTCGTTATAAAAGCGTTGTCTTCCATTGACTAGATGCGATTGGTGACATCGTTAATTGCCTTTTCGTTTTAAATTGTCAGTCTACTTGGTTCAGTTGACTTCGTTCGGTGCCCTACATAATTATTGCCATAGTAACATTTAACATTGCATAGTACAGGAGACCGATGGTTTTATATTATATCTTACTTTACCTATGACTATAAGCAATATAATATAGTTAGAATGACTAAGTCAAAACAAACTAGTAGGGCGATAAAATTATAATTTGTCTTTCTAAATTTGCTATTTTTTATAGCAAATACAAAGATACCTTTAAATGGACATAGTTATTCTAGATTCTTTTTATAAAATTACTCATCACATCTTTGATGTTCTACCTACCTCGCCAGGCACAGTCACAGACCGTTAAAATAACGATACCGATAGAATGACTTTAGCACTTAATACTGCTTTTGAGTTTACTAGTAGTAAATCATAATAAAGCAAGTCAGTGTCCAATATACTTTTCTTGTATAAATCTGATCTTGATTGCATGAAATTTTCTATAAGCGTAATAACCGTGTAACACTGACGTTTAATGTGAAGAAACTGTAGTATTAATAAAATAATCGTATGATGTGGGAGGCCGTTAGAAAGCGCGGGAAACCCGGCCAAAGTGACTCAGCCTTAGCGAACTGAGGACATTCATACGGCTTCACACTGTAGCCGTTTATATGAATCACCATTCGCGTCTGAAGCTTATGCTAATACTGTTGTTTTACTAATACTATCAGCTGCGGTGTCTGTTTTCATAACATGAACATGTGATACGTCTTATTCACTAATTGGATCGGATGTATAATAAATTGTTACGATTAAGTTTAGTCTAAGATGCTAGAACGGTCTTTTGACATTTGAACGCTAATCGACATTCGTGCTGACATTTCCTACGAGCCATGCACGAGAACTTGTAACGGGTATTATTTTAAAACATCTGATATTTTTTAACTTATGATTACAAATAATCACCACTTATATACTTTAATGAGACAAACAACACGATTGCGTCATTCAAAATACAAATTTAAGTACCAAATAAAATTTGAATTTTGATGTAATATTTAAATAACAACAGTAAATAGACATCAAAGATTTTTTAAGAATGTGGGACAAAATACTGGGACCTGTTGAGAAAAATATTTTCATATTTTGCGTTTATCATATTTAGTAATGGTTTTTAATCTACACATCTGATATATAGATAAGGTTGTAGAGAAACTATTCAGGATTAATTTAAGGCATAAATGAAGTCTGGGTGTACAGTAGAACTTGAATAATAAGAGGAAAATAATAAAAAATCCAGCCATGAAAAAGAACGTGGAGGGTTACACAGACCATGGGATATGCTCCATTGCGGTAAATATAGGTATCTAGCTGTAGCAATTTTGGCCTTTGACTAGTTCCAACGTTAAATCATCATAGCCTCGGAAAATCTATTAACAAGGTACGTAGGAGGACCCTAACATGTTATTACAGTTCCATCGACTATGCGGCAGGTCAATCAAAAGATAAAGCGGGATTGTATCGCTGGGAATTAATTAAGATTCCCTTTAAGCGGATTGACAGCGTTCGGTAATGCAGGGTCTGTGGCATGTTCAATAACAGCAACAGTATGAAATTGCTAAGCCTCGCTCTTGGAATAATTATGATATAGTCGATTGTTGGGAGCTGTCGCTTTTCTCACTTTTAAGTTACTTTGAATTTGGCTTACAATAAGTTTTCTTTCAAAATAAGACCTATTTGTAAGTTTAAAATCATTTATTCATTAAAAAATATCGTAATCTACACTAAGTATTTTATGTTGTTTTAGTACATCCATAACTCCTAATTTGTAAACAAAATTTTAACCTAAAATCTTCTTAGTATTTTTCTTTACTTCCCCAATGTTTACATCAGGCACAGAAACCTCTCTGTGTCTCTCACTAAGCCAGCTGCGTGTTTATTAAATGAAATCTGCTCCTTGTTTACATTTGAATTCATTGAATCTGATTACAATAGAAAATACTTTCCTGAAATTTTCAAAAGTTAAGGAAGCTGTTGGATAAAACGGAGTTTTATTTCGTTTAATTTACGTAAGTCTTAGAGACATCCTTATACACCTTTTATATATAAGTACCGCAATAGCAGAGATGCTTTTTAATTATTCTATATATTTTTTGGGGGCTGTGTTTTTTATGTACACAATTCTTTTGCTAATTGTAGCTATGTATACGTATAAACTTGTATCACAAAAGTAATTCATTACTTTACTCAATTGAGATACAAACAAAAAACAGTTACGTCAAAAATAACCTTCTTCCTTCATTTGTAATTTCAGCTTTGCCCCTTTTATCAAATGATCGACTAATATCCATAAAGCACTTTTCACAACATTGACTAAGCCAGTGTGTAAGTGAGTGGCAATAAATTATAATTATCTCCCTTTTCCAGTCTAGTGGACATTGTTTCGGCGGGTTACGTGCATCCTAATGCGCTATTCAAACGAGAAAGCTCTCACGGGGTGAGTAACGAGTTGAGTACATACTTCATTGGAATAAAATATGAGATGAAATTTAAAAACTTTAAGGCGCTGTGCTTGTGGAAGCGTTCGTTCTGCAAATGTAGAAGTTAAGGAACTTATAGAGAAACAAAATAGTTAATCATTTGTGGACACGTCACACACAACAATCATTTAGTCTCTCAATAAACAGAGTTTGTACTATAAGAACTAAATAACGTGTAAAATATAATATTTTACAAGGGTTATAAAAAACGCTTGTTTAAACCACCTCAAAGAAAGGTAGGGCATAGCGGCTTTCCGCTTGGATTGGAGCGCCTGTTGGGGAAGTAAAATTAAAGTAACCTCTGGTGGTGTCGTGTTTCTGTCGGTGAGTACGGTTCCAGGGCTCCACGGGGTAGGCAACGGTGTAATAGTGTAACGGTGCATCGTAAGCGTCTATAGGCTATTATGGCTGCCTACTATCAGGTGGGCCATATGCTTCTTTGCCACCCTTTTAACTCAAAAAATCTATAATTCGTCTTTTTATTGAGAAAACCAACTAAATGTGCTAAATAAAACTAGTTTTAACGGTTGCCTTTTTAACGGTTGCGTTGAAGAATTTCGACACGGCCAGCAGGGCCGCGGTCGCATAATTGATCAGTGCATTCGCCCGGATAGCGAAGGGTGCGGGTTCCAGTCCCGTCTGCTGCCTGGTCCGCGTGGATATTTTTTCTAGTTATATTTTCTATACTTTTAACGGGTTAATACATGAAACATTACTTATTTATTGACGTTTCGCAGCCTTTTCAGGTCTGCATCGTCAGAATACTGACTATCTAGTAAACTAGTTTTGTTTAATGAGTGATGTGCGTGAAAACCTAAGAAACAAATAGGAAAATCTTTTGTTAAATATCGTATTTGTAAATTGCGTTAAACATTATTGTATAAAACAAATATTTGTCTTTTAAGCATAAAAATGAGAATAATGTTTTGATATAATTTTTAAATCTTTATTTATATGAAAAATCCTTATTTAGTTGTTATTCACTTTCACTATCTTTTTGCACATGCACTATAGAACTAAGAGGTTTTGAAAACTAGATAGATCTCGGTTAGTTTTGAATAAAATGTGTTTTTTAACAAAAATCGGCACTTAGTTGGTTTTCCCATTTACACGACGAAGTTTTCAAATTATTAAAAGTATTTTATAGACAGTTCTAAATATAAGATGTAGAATTCCCACTGAAAAAGTCGAAAGCATGAACATGGTTCCAAATATTAGTGTAGATTTAAATAGCTCGGTCGTAGTAATTATCTTTCCAGTCTGCAGAGTATTGTCTACCCAAACAATGTGCAATCTAGTGCGCTTAAAATGAAAACACTACGTGCGAGGAAAATAATTTAGGCAGAAATTGCTGTGATAGGGAAACACTCAGATTACGGAAGGCACTGCAGCATAGTATAGTATTGGCGTAGTTTAGGACAGGGTAAATTCCGTACAGTGTGGGGAAATATTTTAATTTAGCATTAAGTATCCAAAGTGGGTCCTGAGCGGAGTGGAATGTTTTCTAGAAACATTTTATTTGGATATAAATCGAGAAGTATTTTGCAAAAAACTAAACACCTATATTAGCATACATGCTACTTTTCTTCTTTCCTAAACAGTTAGTAAAGTGAAGAAAAAAAAATACGTTTGGCACTCGGGGACTGCCGCAGTAAAGCTATTGCATAGCATTTTTTATCAACTTCATCAACGGCCTATCTTGGTCCACTGCTGGACATAGGCCTCTCCAAATGCACGCCACTCAGATCGATCTTGGGCTACTCGCATCCAGCTCCTGCCAGCTACCTTGCGCAAATCGTCACTCCATCGTGCCTGAGGACGTCCTACACAACGTTTGCCGAGTGTTTTAAATCTTGATAATGGACTTTTTTCGCTGGTTGCCATATTATAACCACAACCAAAAGTTTATTCACGGGGTGTTAGGTTTATTTTCGTTACGGAATTTCTTGATTCGGTCGCCGCGCTCAAAGCCCGTGACAAAAGCTGTGCAATAGCTTAAAAAAGGTTAAGAAAAACCGTTATGAAAATGGACCAAAGAATTTTGTTAGCAATTAACTCATTATATTTTTTTTAACACTCCAATTAGCCTAGCCCCAAAGTAAACACTATAAGGCTTGTGTTATGGGATACTAGGGTAACGGAGAGAATACATATACTGTACATATATCAGTATATTTAAATATAAATACATATTAGGCATCCATGACTGGAGTACAAATGCTCGTATTCATTACACAATTAACATCTGCCCCCACCGGGATTCGAATCGGGACCTCTCGAGTCGGCGACACCATGAAACCCTTCGTACAAACCACTCGACCACGGAGGTCGTCATAATTGCAATACCTTTACTAGACCAATCGTTAGAATAGTGACGAAAACTTTAACATAAAATTGAGTCGCAGCTACTTCTAAAAGCTACCTCGAAAAATTAAAAACATTGCCTTAATTAGATTACAGAAACAATCCAACTTGATGGTAAATAATCATTTTCTCATAAAATTAATTAAGAAAGAAAGGTTTTTGCGCCGTCTTCGACGTGACAGGCGATTGCTTTCATCTGATCCTTTTGTTTTTGTTCAAATGCCTGCCGGGGTAATTTTAAAGAGTCGATGGAATTACTAGCCCGAGGCGATTTATTGATTTTGCACCAATTTGTTGCCAGGAACACCCAAGAGTTACTTGAAATTGAAAATTTGTTCTAAATATTTTTCATGTTCCCATTGACGTTAAACTGTTCAGTGGTTAATTGGTTTGTTTGGTATTTAGAAAAAAAAATGAAACGTAGCTATTATTATTTTTTTGTTCATTTAATTTGGATACAGTAATTCTTCGCGATTTAGATTTCTAAGATTATTACTAACAAGTAATATGTTAAGTTGAAGTAGGTATATTATTTAGGAAAAATATATCCCAACTTACCTATAAGAATACTTCTGAACATTCGGTTAAATCCTGACATTTAAGGATTTTTTTTTATCAAAATTGCATACATAAAAAAATTACTTATGGACCAAATAATACCAATGGCAGTCAAAACACTCCAATATGACAAAGCAAAAATGTATAGACCTATAGAATACATTATACCAAGCGATCACGTAAAAGCACTGCACTCCACTCAAAGCCTGCAGGCGAAGCCGATAAAACTAGAAGAGCCTTTTTCAACCTTACAATACAAAACTTAACGTCTAAATTTCACAAAACCAATTCCGATTTCAAAAAAGGTTGTATTAGGTTACAAGTTGTACCAGCCCCAGGCTAGGCTACCGAACCGTATACTTCATTCTACTTTTTGCAGGGATTTAATTGGTATCGAATACATTTCCTTTGTCGTTGTTAATCAATTAGGAGCTCGCAAAAGAACCGTTAGAAAGGGCGAGTAATTTAAAAACGATTGGAATACAGGGGTACTATCCTCTATACAACTGAGTTTTACTCGACGTTGACAGTGTATCGATGGCTAACACGAATGCTTTTAATATATTTATTTTCATCGATTTTCCTGTTTTTCATCAACATATTTGTTAAGACCCCACTGCTGTAGCGTAATTTAATGATAAACAGATAACGAGTCTTGAACGTATTCACCATAAAGTACATTGCTCAGAATTAAATAAAATTTTTGGTCACACATTTCCACGCGACGTGGTCGTTGTTAATACTTCCTACCAACTTTTTCGTTATTTTCTTTCCCTTCATCCGCTTATTTCTCCCTTGTTTTCTACATTTTAATTGAAAAAAAAACTATTATAGTAGACTATAATTTATATATAAGTATATCAGTAAAAACTGTTATAGGTGGACTATATGTATCTATTAGTCCTACTGGGCTAAATAGATTTTAATTGATTTTGTTTTTGACCATTTAATTCTCAAGAAAGAATTGTCCTAATATAAGCGCACGATTCCGCTAGCAAATACACACGCAGTAATTACGAATAGCGGAACGTTATCGTCATGTGACAGATGGTACCGAAACCATTGAATTGAAACGCACTCGTGCGTATGACAACCCACTTAGGTCTAGAGAATTTTCAGGTTTTAAACTTTGAAATAAAGTGTATGAGAATAATGTAAGCTTTAAGTTAAAATTAATTAACGACTAGTTGGTGCAACGGCAGCGCTCTAAAGTTCCTGAATTTGATTCCCTGGTCATGTTTGTATGTTTAATAATGATATATTTGATGTATTTACGTTGTTTAGTCTGAGTAAGGTAGAAGCTCTACTTATAGTTTGGTACCAAAATATGACTATCCCAAAATTTATAGTTATTATTTAAAAGACTATTGATATTTTTAAGTGTAAATTTAAACTCTACCAAGAGGGACTTTATAAAATATATCCCAAGTTCTAGTAAAATCACTAAACACTATATAATCCTTCCTTTGATTTGAATAATATCATTTGTTTAAAAATAACAGTTAAATAAATGTAGACGAATCTAATAGTGTTAATAGGACTACTAACTTTCGTTCTATTAAATATTCTCATCTAATATTATGAATTGCGAGCTTTATAGTAAACTATTGCTTTGACGGGCGTTTCTATAAATAACGCGGCTGCATTTTCCGCTTTGTTTCATCTCACTATTGCAATATCACCGCAATGTCGACCACCGCATCACATTACATTGGAGTGCATTGATTGACAGGTGCTCCTGGGGGAACCCTAATTTTACGCTATTCTACTCCACCCCATTACGATCATCCGGAATTTAATAAACATTTCTGACCAGTGTCCACTTGTATTAAATTATGACAAGGTTTTATTCAGATGTCTAGGGAGTTATTACGCGCGAGTCAACTATTTTATTGTTGTATTCCCATTCAAATTAGATTCCCCTCACTAACAATAACTTACAGCTTTAGCCATTCGGTTAGTTAAGTAGAATTGAGTCGATTACTTAAACAATTAAAGATCCAACTCTCTCATCTGATGTTACGTGTAGTGTAGTCCATTTGTTATTGAAGACCGTGCAGTCAAGACTTACATGTTGACTCTTTATTTTATTTCAATTTCACTAAATCATTTCAGATTTCAGATTAATAGTGGTATTAGAATGATTTTGATTTATAAATGTCAAGAATATAAATGTAGTGAATTTTGAGAATTTATGGGTATTTTATGCAGGAAGGATTCACGCTATACCACCTACGCACGCCTTTATAGACTATTGTATGTCATTAACCAATAGACATATTTTTTGACATGTAAAACAAAATTTACAACTGATACTGATCCAAAGTTTAATTCTGTTAAAGAACAGCAATACAAGATACAAACAAGAACGTATAAATGTGGTACAAATTATGTTTCCAAGAGAATGCAAATAAATGACAAGAGATTCCCAGAATATCCCATTACAAGGCATGAGCGAAGTTTATTCGGTATAGATGTGCACACCCCTCAACCGAATGTACTCCACAGAGAAATTGAATATTCCCCAATAATGAAATCGCAGTTTCACTGCTGCTGTGATTTCGATTATTCAATTCACCATCCCCATATTCCAAATTGATATTGTTTTGGATTATTCAGTTACCTTTATCTTTATTTTTATGATATGGATTTAAACAAAATTGCCTTTACATCTTTCCAATTTTTATTTCGAGATTTTAGAGTATCGTATTTCGACAATTTCCTTCGATTTTAATTAAACGTTAGCCTAAAATGCATTTTGAAATGAATGTATTCTTTGCATAATTCCTAATTAAACAAAAAAATAGTAAATGTCGTGGAACCTTTTTTGTAAATGCAGGCAGCATATTTTAATTTGAATTTAGTTTGACATGTTAGGAATAGAATAGAATAAAAATTGGTTTGCCAATTATTGTGTCATGTTCTTTTTAGACTGAAGTAAGTTTTATAAGTTTATGTTTGTATAACCTTCTATACGCTTCGATATACATATAGTTTAATCCCTGAACTTACAAGTGTTTCATTTAACCACGTAGAGAAATTCGGGGCAAGGCATAGCGCCGGTTAATATCCACGAACAGTAAAGAAGCTGATCTCCTATCTTCTTCCATTATCCCTTCTATTAGATAAAGTCACAACGGGCTAATCTTAGAATAGATTCTTGAAACCCTTTATGCTGGTATATTTTCTTAACTGTCACGTGCACATTACTCTACTTATACTAATTTATGTAAAATATCATGATATACTCATAAAGCTCTTCAGATTTTTAAACAAACTATTAAATGCTAGATTGTCGACAACATCAACTATGTTTTAGCTGATTTTTAATGATCGCTGATTAGGGCTTTAGAAGGCGTTTATAGAACCTGACGACGTAATTTAATCTTAGATAGAACCAACACTACCGCTTCATTCAGGCGATGTACTGGAGAAAATAGTTTGCAAGCAAATTCCCTTACAGTATCCGTTATACAATGATTTGTTTAGCTTTTAGTTCAAAATTAATATAAGTTTAATATGATAACCCTAGTACTGCAGTTTCAAACAGAAATTTTACACTTTCCAATTTGTGCCTACACGTTCTATTGTTACAAACGCCAGTAGGTGTTATGTTTAGCATATCAATTAGACAAGATATAATCTGACAGACGCTTTATTGAACTCGAATAATGGCTATAAAATCAATAATCTAATAGCTTGTATCAAGTAGTTGAGATTTTGCAGTGTCCGTTGGGTATGTGAGAATATATTGTGAGCTTAATTTCCTATGATAATTTTGTAAATTTAAACCTTTGAGAATTTTGGTTGATGGAGTTATTTAGGGAGCTTGATATAATGTTAAGTAATACGTATAATAATTTTATCCGAAATGTCCCATTATTTAGTCAATTAATATAAATGAACATGCTCTATTTAGTTATTTTGAAATGATATTGAAAAAAAAAATTCATTGCGATTTCATTATTTTGTTTTTAGAAAGAACCAAAAATTGAGACTTGTCATATAGTCTATACAATGTATAAATTACCAACTGGTGACTGCATTCTTGTACTACTGCAAATTCATAGTACAAGGAATCGTGAAATTTATTGATATAATATTTCAAGTGCCAATGGATGCCTCAGGCCCAGATAATATCCTTAATTCATACACCATCCAACCGGAAGTCACCATTCTAAATCAAACATGGCGCCAATCCGTGCCGTTTCCGATTGAGGGAGAGAACATATTTTAATATCCATGAAGGTGGTTCCAATCAAGATTTATTTGCCAGAGTGTTTGGATCTCAAAGCAGCTGGAACGAAATTAAAATTGCTCTAAATAATGATGAAACGTGACTTAAATATTTTATGATTCCTGTTCAACTGTTTGAAGGGTTCTTTACCTCAAATGGAACCCTTGTAGGATCACTTTGCTGTTGATCCGTCTGTCTGTCAAGACCCTTTATCTCGGATCCGCAACCATATACTCGGGTCTACGGTCCCTTGAAGCTGTAAAGAAATCATAGATCTGAGTTCACGTAATAAAGGATACGACCGTTTACGTTGTCTACCTACAAAAAAGGGAAAGCCCTTTTTTCTTATGTTAAAGTCAATTCTTACAAGGACGATGTTGACTTAGCAAATTATTTTATTATTAGAAATTCATCAGTTGCGTAAACGAACAAAAAGCCGTCTAAGAAGTAGCTTTTAAAATTGTTTTCAATGCCATCCTAATACCTCTATTATATTGCTTGATATGTTATAAAGGCATTCAACCTGTCCACTACCAAGGCCATTGTTATTATTGGCAAATACGGACTATACATTAGTTAGTCGCAAAAAAATCGTTTTGCTTTCAATGAATAAATCATTGGACGTACGAACAGGCGGACCGGCGAATCGACGTGAATATTAAGCGCGATCGGTACTCTCTGATAAATTAAATTTAGCTCGTACGTTTACAAATGTTGATTTTTGAGTGATATCCCTTATTTGTTTTTTGGAATGTAATTAATATTATAAATCTTATCCATTCAGACATTCAGAGATAAAAATATTTCAAAATATCAATCGGGTGTGTATATTCAAGCAATATTTTTTTTTAATTATATATGCCAGCTTACAGACAACACGCAGGCGAGTAATGCAAATATTTAATTAAATAAATAAAGATTAGACATATTGTCAAGTCGGTATTCATCAGGTGTAGTTTAAAAAATACCAATGGCAAACAAATTTGATTAAAGTCAATACATCATTTGAATAAGATTACATAACGTAAGAACATATTCAATACAATTAGTAATTTAGTAGATAAATGATGTTATAAATTCAGATAGACGTATGATACCTTTTTTCGTATAACTCAGAAAAAGGATTCCTCTGTAGAACATTGTGCATTATGAAAATACGAAGACCTTAAATGTAGTTAACATAACCATCCAAATTGATCCCCCTTCCTTCATAGAAAATGTAGAACTTCTACAATATACAAAGACTAAACCACATCCGTCGAAACTGGATGATATAGAATAGTTCATCTACCGACTGGATATGCACAAGCAGATAATATTGAATATTAATGAAACGGACTATCAACAAATTCCTTATCACTTAACCTTTTTTCAATCTCATGTTTGTAAGCTACAAGTCTGTTCAGAGTATGTATTTCTATTGAGTCAGAGCATGTTTTCGCTTTATTGGTTTACATTTGCATATGAGAGAAACATTTTGCCCCCAAGTGAAGTAGGTAGAACATCAGGTGTATCCAAATTGCGGGTGGGCGTGTAAATATTTAAATCGGCAGTGTTATACGTTAGGGTCCGACTATCGTGGAGTGCACATTGGTCCATTTCCATAAAAGCCTCTTCAATCTCGCGCAACGTTTCGGGAATTTCAATTCGCGCTTAAAATTTTATGGAGAGTATATTGATTTTTTTCGATGCAAACATTTAGGGATAGAATTGATTAGGTCGGGCGGTGGAAATTGACGAATGCTTATGATAAAGTTTCACCATCATCATCATCAATCTATTTTAGTTATTTTGGGTGATTAATTATGACTATTAATTTTGATTGAACCAACATATATTATTATTAAATATACACAGATGATTCTTTTTGATGTCCATTAGGACAGTGGGTAAAGCTGTAAATTGCAGAACAATTAATACCCAACGTGTCTTGGTCCGCATTATTAAAATTTTACGTCCACAAATTTAAAAGGTTTTTTTTTCAAGTTTCAGTAGATGTTTGTCCCGTTCTATCTTTATCATTTTAAGTTCAGTTCGGTGGAGATCAGTAATAATAAAGGAACTTGTCTGTTTTGCACCTTCGCTCTTCCTAATCATAATAATTGTTGCATACTAAGATAAAATTAAGAAATTAGAAATTCCTCTGAAAAAGTGTCAAATGATAAAGAAAATATTACTAGAAAAAAATCCACGCGGACCAGGCAGTCAGGGCAGCGGTAGCAAAATGGTAAGTGCATTCGCTCGGATAGCGAAGGCTGCGAGTTCGAGTCTCGTCTGCAGCCTGGTCCGCGTGGATTTTTTTCTGGTAATATTTTCTTTGGATTTAAACATCGAGCAGTTACATGCTTAAATTATATTCGTACCGCCATAAAAATAGGGGCTGGTGGTAGAAGGGTGAAATTTTGGGTTTTATGTATTTTTTAATGCCACATAATTAAAAAATAAAATTTTGTTCATAAAATTTAAATAAAATGTTAGGGGTGGACAAACCTTATCACTGAAATAAAAAAAAATAGATAGTAGCCGATTCTCAGACCTACTGAATGTGCATATAAAATTTCATAAAAATCGGTCAAGCCGTTTCGGAGGAGTATGGTAACTAACATTGTGACCCGAGAATTTTATAAATAAGATAAATATTAAATATATCTAGATCAATAGGACCAAAGAAAAATAACCATCTTGGTCGGCATTAATGTTGCATCGTGATATTTCAGAACCATTTATGGGAATGACGCAATTAATTTTTATGGGTTTCCAGTAACGATCGTATTGGCGAATTCATGGCCGCCCTTATCGCTCTAATGCTTGTCCTAGGGGATGTTAATAGAAAAATCTTGATTTAGCTTCTGTAGTTTGATATTGTATTTAATTACAACTTATTGTGTTCCTTATTTTATAGATTCCTTTATCAAAAGCAAATCTTACGTCAAAATGCCGAAGTTGAGAATTCCGAAATTCCTAGGGAATCCACGGGTAGAACACCCGTGGATCAACATTTATCCTGTCTGTGGAATCTTCTGTTATCTGCTTGTGGATAATCTCAAATACTTTACGAACTTCAAAGTAATTAATAAATTATACCTATTTATCACGTGCAAAATTTCAGTTTTGTCATATTACGTTTTTGATTTACAAACATTTTAGTATTAGAAGAATATTTAAATCTTTTTATAAACAAAATCTTAGATCCATCCAATGTCAAGTATACTGTCATTGAGATGAATTATAAATATGTGTCTCCCTTGGAACAGTACCACTGATGACCTGCAAACCTGGTGTCTGCAAAAAAAATCATTAAAATCCGAATGAGTTGTAGGCATTTCTAGAACCGGATATACGTAATATGACACTACTATGAACATAGCTTCTTTTATGTTTAAAGTGTCACAAATAAGCGTATGGCCCGCCTAACGGTAAGCGGCCACCATAGCCTAAAGACGCTTCAAACACCAAAAATATCACTCACGCAACTGTGCGGTAGTAGATCGGGGAGTTGGTTTACCTGGTAGGTACGGGAGCTGGTCGGCTGGCTAGCCGCTCGAACTGCGGTCTGTGAGACTAGTCAGGTGACGCTGTGAACGGAGAAGCCCAGGATCGGCTAAAGCGGGTGCGGACCGGCCTGCCGGTTGGAGGCGGGGTGGTTTGAGGTATGCCACGGTTGCGTGAGTGCACGTCAAAGTATACCCGCATCTGCTAGCGGCCCTCGGACTGCTCGCCGCTCGCCGAATGCACCACGCAATTACCTGCGTCGCGAGGGTTTGTTGTAACGTCATCACCGCCCAAAGAGAATATATATGACAATTAGTTAAGCAAGTTATTAGATATATAAAAACTTGATGACGTTACAGCAAACCAAACGCGGCGTTGTTCATTGCCGTGGATATAGTGCATTTTTTTCTCCCCGTCATCGAAAAAACAAATGGTGGGTAGGCAACTGCCTACTCGACCTCTTACCCCGTGGAGCCATGGAACCTTACTCACCGTCAGCAAAACACCACCAAAAGGTAGTGTTAATATTTTACTGTGATCTTTTGTTCCCCAGTCGGGCAGTTCGAGTGGAAAATCCGGTATATATTACCTCTCTTAACTAAATTAAGAACATCAATTGAGACAAATGAAACATAATATACTTTTTTCAAATTGTGAATTAGATTTTACACGTTTTCCTTGTTTTGCTGGCTCGCACACCGCCAGGTCATCGACCTCGGCAATGCGGGCTCCAAATTCGGAAGCCGATGCCAGCGGCAAGTTTAATCGGACGCGCCTATGGCGGATCACTTGGGCTCGAGAGCGCGACGGACGGACGCAAGACAGTGAGATAATCGTCGGTGTAACATTCTATTTCGATACGTGGAAGAACTTGGAAACAATTGAAGAGAATTGGGTTTTTATTTTTTTGGATGGATACGATAATCAATTATAACTTTACTACAACAAATAGGTCAGGTGTTTCAGTTGAAATTTGACTCGAGTTTCAAGAAAAAAATTCAAAACTGCATAATTAGCATATTGATTATAATATAGTAACTTATGTGCAATCAGGCAATTCGATTCGTGACCCACCATAAGCTTATTTTGTTGCAACCATTTCAAAACAATAAGGTAGAGTTTTGCTTAAATGTCGTAAACGTATTTCTGGAAACAACCTTGTTATTTTCTGGACAATCATAGTTGACGTGCCAGATTTTGCCGCCTTCCTGTGACATAATTTTGACATTGAATTATTTGGAGTTGTGCCTATGGACTAAGGATTCCCCTATTAGTTTACCAACATCAACAACTAGTTTATAATGTCCAGAAAAAAAAAACAAAATTTCTTTTGTTTCATTTGCGTCCTTAAAAGTGATTTCGAAATTCAAACTACATGATCTATTGCATTGAAATAATATTTCAGATATCTTTGTTCTACGAGTATATTAACACAGTTTCCTTGTTATTAAAAAGGTTTTAAGTGCTTAACGCATTCTCTACAAAGGAGAACTTGTCTAGTTTGTCATTTTTAAGCGAATTATCGGGCAAGTGGGTAAGAAATCAATTGATTCGATCGTATATAATTAGCAGAAATGCTACTATGTAACAAGGTACAGAGTATCGGTCTCGCTTTTATTACTACATAATATTACTATAGCGTTAGTGGCTATGAAAAGTTAAAACAATATTTAAACGTTTTTCTTGTACAATTAATGTTTTTACTGTGTTCTTTACTAATTCCTACCTATACAATAATTATTTTTTGCTTATCACACAAATAAATGCCTCAAACCCGATTCAAAATCAGATCCTCTGAAACAAGTACCGACTCTGTCATTATATCAACAGTTCATCAAGTTACTTGTATTTAGTTACTAAGAACTAAACAAGTCTAAAATGAACTCACAGTCTAAGAATTTCATTTGAAGCTGTTATTTACTGAATAACAAATGCACAAGTATTTTGAACACTATTGAGAGTGAGACTATAAAAAATTACGTATTCAAGAGTCATTTGGTCATTATTCAGTCTACAATACTGATACCACGAGCTGCAGTACCGACGCCGACGCTCAGGGAATTAGTTAGCCAGACACCCATTAGCGAGGACTTTTAAGCGACAATTTAGGGACTGATAAATGATATTTAATATTCTGTTCTCATTCGAGTTATAATTGCTGTAAGTACCGAATGTTTTGAACTGTTACTGTTTTAATAACTTCAATTGTCAGTTTACAGTTATCGAATCAGTGTCAAAAATATGTATGGAGTTTATTAAAAAATGTGTTTTTTGCTTATGGAGTCATTGCTCATGCTTATTTCGAGTTTGTCTTTCTAATGAAATGATTATCCATCCATACAATGTATGTGTGGGTTAAAATCGCTTTTAATTCGAATTTAAGTCAAACTCATTTGCTGAGTGCTAAAGACAAATCATTATGTATTTGCAAGGCATCTCAAGTTATAATTCTAGCACAGATCGATTAGATCGGTGCACCCAAAGAGTTCAGAGATGCTCATTGGAGTGTATCACAAATCTCGAAACTATTTCACGCGTGGCTTCAACTCTCGGTCACGCCCTGCTAGCGTTTGTTTTTCGTACGTTTCTATTGCTCTTTGAAATCTCACGAATGTTTGGATTGCATTTGTTAGTCAACAAATCAACTGCTGTAATCAACGTAACAACGACATTGTATTTAAAATTGTTGTCAAGTTAAACGTTGGTATTACCTTTCTAAATGAAACTGCAATCGTTTTGAGCAATAAATTTTAATTGAATAGCACGCTATTATTCTACGGTTAATGATTT